CTCGGTTTGAAACCCAGCTTTTGATATTGATTCCCATTATTTTGGCCTCCTTAGTGGAGTCAGGCCATTCTTTTCCATCCCTTTTTGCTGTCTTTTGTTTCTCAGTTTTGTGTTGTGCTATCACAGAGAGGAGAACCACGGGGCAGGACACAGGCTTTTGTTTGGGCTGACTTTGCAGATCTGTGCATCTGCAGGTCTCACCAGACCAGCGTCTACTGGGACAAATTCTGCTTCGGGTCACCAATAAATCTGATTAATGAGGCTCCCCTTCTGTCTTGATTTTGTGTCCTGAGAGTTTTGAGAACAGAGAATGTTCTTGCTATTTTTCTGCCTTTTGGGGGCATGGATTGTGGGGAGTAGACCCCTACATTTGGAGGGAGCCCACTGTCAGGCAGGGGGCTGAGACATGGGGAGACAAGCATTATGTTCCTCCTGACCATTGCCAGCTCTCATGGGGTTGTCTAAGCCTAAATCCTCTCCTATACCTTGGAAAAGTGCTGCTGCTTGTATGTACTGTCTTTACAACCCTAATCTTTGTGCCTCTCTTTCTAAGTGGCAGAACTTCACCAAGGATGATATGGGCCTTCAGTAGCCACTCTGGGGAATATTTGATTTGAACACAATTACTTATTTGAGAAGAAGAAAGGAAATAAGGTTTCTTAGACCAAATGGGCAGCACTTTTTTTATTGATATGCAGAGGTCTCCAAACAAATTCTGAGTCAAAAGTCTTCACTAAAAGTTTCTTTGACTGCAGCTGATGAGCAATTCAGCAAACCTGAGTAAACTAGACCCATTTTGATGTCCAGCTGTCCTTCTCCCCCTCGTCCTTTTGATCCTCCTCCTCCTGTGCCTCCATCAGCCGCTCTCTCAACTTCTCCTCGTTCAGATGCCCTAAGTTTTCCAGACAACTCTCCTAACACCCAAAATGCAGTTGTTTCCCTTCCATGAGTCTCATATGCAGACAACTGTAGAATTTAAACCTTGGATCTGAGCTGAATTAGAAACTATAATGAGAGATTTCCCTAAACTCAAGCAAGACCAGCAGATATTTACAGAAGAACTTAGAATTCTATTGGAGACATAAGAGCTAGGATTACCTGACCTGTATCAACTTGTACACATGCTGGTCAGAACTTCAGATGCTAAATCCTGGATGAGGAAAGCTGGTTGGACTGACCTAGAAAAGGATCTACAGGATCCATCTTTACTCTGTAACTCAATGGTCAAGAAAGTGACAAAAATGTAGATCAAAGTCTCCTAAAAGTCCTATTTCAAAACTTCCTAGCAAAAATCGAGTGCACCATAATTTAATCATGCAAATAAAAAATATGAAGCTATGAATATGTGGAGATTTAAAAACTTGCTACTGAGCAACTATTGTTCAAGAAGAAATCAAGAGAAAAAAATACCTTGAGACAAATGAAAATGGAAGTATAACATATCGAAACTCACAGGATGCAGCAAAAGCAGTTCTAAGAGGCAAATTTATAGTGATAAATGCCTATATCAAGAAACAAGAAAGATATCAAATAAACAACCTAAATTTACACCTTAAGGAACTAGAAAGAGAAGAACAAATGAATCCCGAAGTTAGTAGAAGGAAGAAAATAACAAAGATGAGAGTGGAATAAAACGAAACAGAGACTAAAAAGACAATAGAAAACACCAATGAAATTAAGTTGGTTCTTTGAAAAGATAAACAAAATTGATGAAACTTTGGATAGAATCACCAAAAATAAAAGAGGAATCAAATAAATAAAATGAGAATGAAAGAAGAGATACTACAGTGTAAACCACAGAAATACAAAGGATCATAAGAGAGTACTATGAACAATAATAGGCCAGGGAATTAAGCAAAAATGGAGAAATGGATAAATTCCTAGAAATGGATGCAACCTACCAAGACTGAATCATGAAGAAATAGAAAATCTACACAGACAATTACTAGTACAGAGATTGAATCAGTAATCAAAAACTTCCCCAACAAGCAAAAGTCCAGGACCAGACAGCTT